AAAACCACTGATTCTGCTGGCACTAAAGCCTTTAACTTCTGCGTTTCTCAATCTCTTACTCAGATAGTTAACTTTGTGACTCGTTTTCCTGACAACCCTAACCATTTACCTTCACTCCTTGACTTATGTCTTGTCTCTGACCCTAGCTTATGTTCAGTTTCTCCATTTTCTCCCTTAGGTGGTTCTGACCATGCAATGATCTCTATAAATCATTCTTCTCGTACTTCTTTTTTGGGCTCACCTTATCATCGCACCACCTACTACTACCCTAAAGCTGACTGGGATTCCTTTCGTGATTTTCTTCGTGATGGTCCTTGGGTTGATGTTTTTTCTCTCTCAGCTGACAAATGCACCTCCAACGTAACCTCCTGGATTCAGGCTGGAATGGAAGCTTTTATTCCTTCTCGTCGGTTTCAAGTCAAGCCTCATTCTACTCCATGGTTTTCTCCTTCTTGTGCGGCTGCTATATCCAATCGTAACCATTTTTTTCATCTTTTTCAAAAGAACAACTCTCTTGAGAACAAACGGCTATTTATTATTGCAAGAAACTGATGTAAAAAGGTGCTTTCTGATGCTAAACTCAATTATTCTCAGTTCACCAAATCTCGCATCTTATCGCAGAAGTTAGGCTCTAAAGACTTTTGAAAAATCTTCAACAGCATTGTTAACAAGGTTAGATCTAACATTCCATCTCTCATTCATGGGACTGATCTTATTACCTCTCCCAAAGATAAGGCAGAACTATTTGCAAAGAACTTTTCTTCTAATTCCACTCTAGAATCTTATGGACATTCTCTTCCTTCCATTCCAGTCAAACAGGTGGACCCATTGTTAGACATTTAAATCACTCTGGCTTCTGTTGCTAAAGTCATATCTCAATTAAACTCGTCTACAGCTTGTGGTCCAGACAACATTCCTGTCACAGTCTTGCAGAATTGTTCTCCAGAACTTTCTTTAATTCTCTCTAAACTATTTAACAAGTGTTTGACTGAGTCTTGTTTTCCTGCTTGTTGGAAAATGGCATCTGGGGTTCCAATATTCAAAAACTCTGGAGAAAATTCTGACCCCTCCAATTATTGTCCGATCAGTCTTCTTTTTGTTATTAGCAAGGTCTTTGAGTCTTTGATCAACAAATTCCTCACATCTCATCTTGAGTCAAATAAACTGCTGTCAGACAATCAATACGGTTTTTGATCCTCTCACTCTACGGCCGACTTGCTAACTGCTGTAACTGAAAGATTTTATCGTGCATTAGATGGAGGCGGTGAGGCTAGGGCTATTGCTCTCGACATATCTAAAGCTTTCGACAAAGTTTGGCATGCTGGTCTTCTCCATAAGCTTGCTTCATATGGTGTTTCTGGGAAAGTTTTTGAGATTATCAAATCATTTCTTTCTAACCGGTTTATTAAAGTCATCCTTGAAGGCCAACACTCTTTTTTATTTCCAGTAACTTCTGGGGTTCCCTAAGGTTCCATCCTGGGCCCTGTTTTGTTTCTTATCTACATAAACGATCTTCCTGACAACCTTTCATCTAAAGTAGCTCTTTTTGCTGATGACTCAACTTTATACTCCTGTCTTGACAAAAAGTCTTCTCTTTTCGATCGCCTAGAACAAGCAGCTGATCTTGAATCCGATCTCACTTTAGTAATAGATTGGGGTTCACAGTGGCTTGTGAATTTCAACTCTAAAAAAACCCAATTGCTTACTGCAAACAACTACCGTAATATGGTCAACATTCCTATATTAATGAATGGCAATCCTCTTACTAAGTCGTCCTCTTTACGTCTTCTTGGATTATCGCTTCCTACTGACCTTTCATGGAAACCATATATACAATCGATTGCTAAATTAGCTTCTGCTAAGGCTGCTTCTCTTTATCGTGCTCGCCATTTCCTTACTTCTGATTCCATTCTCTACCTCTACAAATCTCTTATTCGCCCCTGTATGGAATACTGTTGTCATATTTGGGCTGGTTCTTCTAACGATTCACTTTCTCTTCTTGACAAGGTCCAAAAACGCATTGTAAATGTTGTTGGACCTGGACTATCTGCTAAGCTTGAACCTCTTTCCCATCGTCGTAAAGTTGCATCTCTTTCTCTTTTCTACAAATACTATCATGGTCACTGCTCAAAGGAGTTATCATCTCTAGTTCCATCAACTAAAATTCATTCTCGTTTTACTCGTCATTCAGCTAAGTCTCATTCGTTTACTGTATTTGTCCCTGCATGCTCTAAAAACTTTTATTCATCTAGTTTTTTCCCCCGCACTTCAATCCTTTGGAACTCTCTCCCATCTTCATGTTTTCCTGACTCATACAACCTTCAACTTTTCAAGTCTTCTGTCAACCGTTTCCTTGCTCTATAACTCTGTTCTTTTTTTTTCCTAGTAACTCCCAACTTAATAGTGGTTGCTTGCAGCCTTGTTGGTAGTGAATGCAAATAAAAAAAAAAAAAAAAAAAATAATTAATGACACAGTCTAATTCTGATTTCGATATGGCTAATAATATATGTGAAAACTTTGATGAGCCAGCATTAAAAAAAAGAAAAAAATCAGATATGAAATTATCTGTTTTTATTTTTGATTAGTCATCCGTAGTAGTTACGATTTGTAGACTCAAAAGGAAAACTTAGTTTACGTTCTTCTTAATTTATAAATTAAAAATATATAAAGTATCTCAATAAGTTTATTCTAGCAAGTTCAATTAGTTTTTTTATAATTTTTAGGATTTTTTAATATGAAAAAAAGAAAGATTATGATTTAAGTAATGAAGACAACAATTCTAAAAAGTCAAAACGTTTTAAAATTAACATGAAATTACAAGAAAATGACTAGTTACAAACATCAATGGCTATCAAGATACATCCGTGATAAGGATGTGCCGAAGTTAGAATCTAGAGTGGCCATTTTCATTTCTGAAAAAAATTTAGTTTTATCCTTGGCCGATAAACTGGTTCCCCTGGTGAAAGTGTTATCAGCAGATCATACAAATGTTTTCAAGTTCTCATGCCAAAGACAAAAATTTAGTTGCCTTATATGACTAGGTATTATTGATTTTTTACAAAATGTTTTTTCAAAATATATAAAACATTGTGCAATCTTAAACTAGTTAATTATTTCTTAATTAACTATTTATATTCATCAAAGAACTAAAAAAATACTTATTTTTCCATTGTCATTAAGGAGACAAAAAAAATCTCAATAAAAAAAGAAACTGGCTGTCATGATCCATTATTATAACCTCAGTCTTGATTGTCTCGTAGTCGAGCTATTGGACTTGGTTGAGGTTTACGATTGAACAGCAAAATTAGTGACAGGTTGACTTTGTTACGAGATCACGAAATCAGCTTGGATATGCTTATTGTATTGAAGACAACTCTGTCTCCGCCCATTTGAAAGCAGTTTTCCCTCACTTGTTATCTGTGACATGTACTGTCACAGTATTCACCGGAGTTCTTCCAAGGCCTGCTTGAAGCTCTCAAAGGAACTAGAAGATTTAGTATGAGGGGTGTACAATTACTTTGCCCATTGCACTAACAGGAAGTGTATATGTTGATAAATTAATTTTCCTATTTTATTCTTTACGATATTAAATTTGAGTTTTTAAATTTGAGATAATTATTAATAGTTTTAATTATTAAAATGTTACTTGATTTATGTTAGAACCTGATGCGTTTTAAACTATTGATGAAGGTCATCGGTTCTCGACAGTGAGATACTTGAGTAAATAAAATCATTCAATGAACTAGATCGTCCCTCCACCTTAATTGAATGGTAATTTAAAATTGAGGGAGTAGAGTAATTTTAAAAGCTTTTAAAATGAAGTAGCTTTGGAAACAGGTTTTTTATTTTAAATATTTTTATCAATTTGCCAGACTTTTATCAGGAATAATGTTTAATGTTCTTTATCTTCCATTATCACAACCACAAAACAGTATCTTCAATACAGATTAGTTGCAAATTTTGTTGATGCATTTGCAGCGTATTTGTCCGACGAACAAAACGGTCCATTTACTTTACCGATTATACATGGTCCGCTTAAGTTTGTTTATGTATTTTCTCAGCCTGAATATTTAGTCATTTTTGACTATTCGACAACTTAAAGACAGATGACTGCATCAACTTTTTTTTTTAACTTGTCAAACTTGACATCAAACAATATTTTTAACTTTTCTATAATTAATAATGCTTACATACATCTTCATTATTAACATTAGTTAAAGTCTTATTTTATTGATATTCAAATCTGTAAGCTTTGAATATCAATAAAATAAGATATTTTTTCTATAAGCTTTCTGCTCTTCTAAAACGTTCTCCAAGTTTAAAACCCCAGTGTACTTTGGCCTAGCTGAGGCGCGAGTGGAGGAATCTAAATTTTTGGAGGTTTTTGTTAAGACAGTTTTTGATGTTCCGAGATTTTCGAAATTGCGAGTTTGATGTTCCGAGATTTCCTAAATTACGAGTCTGCGTTGGCCTTTTTTTCACTCTTCCTGTAAACAATGCTACAGCTGAATGAGATTTCAGCCAATGAAAACTCATTAAAACAGATAAAAGTATCCAATCTGAAGACATAGCAATTTTGAGTCTATTGCCAGTGAAACATTGCTTAAAAATAATTCCACTACCCATGACATTGAATTGTCTAAGAACCTATGTCAAATCAAATGCTTGCTAGGGTACACTTAATTGATTTGTATGAAAATGTAATGTGTGCAAATAAATGCAGGCGATTGCTTATGGTTGAACTTTTACCTGAAATTATAATTTTCAAATGTTAAGCGTTATAATTTGAAGGAAAAAACGCGCGATTCAAGATAAAATGGAAGTTTTTTTTTTTTTTTTTTTTTTTTTAAGATTTAAAGAATTTTATAACATGATATTACATTGAATATTAGGTTAAATAAAATGCAAACTTATAATCAAACGCGAAAACTTTGCACGCATGCGTCCTTATGCCGGAACTTTATATAATTCTTTAAATAATGTTTATTTCCGTGTAATCGGTTCCGGAAATAAACTAAAAACAAATGTGTTTCTAGTTTATTTTAATAAAATAGATATAGGTAATAAAAACTTAGTAATGTCTAATAATAGTGAATGGAGTAAAGAGTTTCATAATGTAATCAAAGATACAGATAAAAATATTGCATCAATTAAAGTATGTATATGTTTAGTTTTTTTTTTTGAATTTAGGTATTAGACTTTTTTTTTTTCAATAACAACAACAATATATTTTCCAGTAAAGTTATTACTTTGACTACATAAAAGAAAGCAATATTTAAATGGATGGTTCACTCTCATATAGCATGGTTAAAAACTATTAATTCCATTTGTTTTGTTTTTATTAATTCTTCTCAAATCATTAAAATTAACAAAATCATGAAAGCAGTTTTAAGAATGTATTATACATGAGTTATGTTTAATAAATTCCAAATATATTATATTGCAACAATAATTAAAATAAAAAGCTTAGGTAAATGAAAACATGTATTGACTATCAGTACTATTGTAAATAGTGGATTGCCAGTTGAGGATTCACTTTTAAACATTGTACAACTGATCAGCATTGTCTAATGATCAGCGTAGAATGTGTGTTGAACAGAAAGTTATTAGGCACTTGATAGATTTACTGGCTTAGATGGGCTTTTATAAAATCATTTATATATGGTAGACATTGTAGAGAAGCATTTTTTTTTAGTTTATGGTTATTATGTGCGCATATATCAATCAAAATTTATATAGTGATAAATATGTCTCTAGTCTAAATCTGATTCTGAAATACAGATTAAAAAAAACAGTCACAGAATAGTCTTTTTCTAAGATATTTGAAGGTAATTTATAACCAAGAATTAAATCTTATTATAATGCTGATGTTTTTCAGCAAAATTACAATGTCTTGTGATTTTGCTTGAAAATTTTTGAGTAAAATATTGTGCTTATGCTGCTTTTATATAATGCAGCTTTATATATGCTGCTTTTATATAATGCTTTTATATAATGCTCTATAGCTTAATTTCAATATAAAAAAAATGTCTTTTAAAAAAAATCTCATTCACTCTAACAAGGCTGCTAGCAACTACTGTTAATATAGGAATTACTAGAAAACAAAGACTAAGGTTAATGAGCAAGGAAATAGTTTACTGAAACTTGAAAAGTTGAGTTGTATAAGTCAGGAAAAAATAAAGCTAGGAGAGATCCTTTGAGCTATCATGATATTATTTGTAGAAAAGAGAAAGAAATGAAACCTTACAATGATGGGAGAGAGGCTCAAACTTGGAAGATAAAGCAGGTCCAGCTATAATTACAATGCATTTTGGGACCATGTCTAGAGAATAAGATCATTAGGACATTTGGAGATGTTGAAAATGGAATCAGGAGTTTGATAGTGGTGAGCATGATAAAGAAAAGCAATCTAAGCAGATTGTAACTTTTGCAAATCAATTGTATATATAATTTCCATGAGAGTTCAGTAGTGAATGATAATCCAAAAAGACATAAAAAAGGGAACTCAGCAAGAGGGTGAGGGAGTTCATTAATATTGGAATGTCAGCAATATTGCAATAGTTGTTTGCAGTAAATAACTGAGTTAAAATTCACAACCCATCGTAAGGCCCAAGCTTTATAAGAGAGATCGGATTCAAGATCAGCTGTCTTTTCTAAGCAAAATCTTAAAAGAAAAGACATTTCATCATTATAGGAGTACTATTGCAAGTTTAATAAACGGGATGGGACGTTTATTAGTATTTAGAAAACTTTCTTCTTCGCCCTAACTTATTATTTAATATACTTCTTATTATTAAATTTTACTTATTTTTGATTTTTTTTAAAATATAGTTTTTAATATCTACAAAAAAAATCTCAAAACTTAAATCATTTTAACCTGCCATAAAAATAAAAAATAAAAAAACATCAATCACAAATAAAAGAAAATCTTTTAGTGTAATTGGCTTTAAAACTGTCAACCAATAGTTTATAGAAAATCTTGATTTGTTTTATTTCTCAACATAATATAAAATTTTATAAGCATATTAAATCCTATTTGAATTATGTTAAAACAGCTGTTAAAAAATGTTTATTTGAATACAAGACAAACTAGAATAAAATTGTTTTCAATTTGATTTTATAAAAGTAGGCTTACAAAAAACATTTTAATTAAAAAACAAAACAAAAAAAAAACAGTTAGTTTTTTTGGTTAATAAATCATGTTTTGTTAACTTTTTCAAATAAAAAAAGTATTAGAAATTTTACATAATTTTTTTTAATATCGTTACTTTCAACAAGGTTGGAAGCTACCACTATTAGAGTTGAAAATAACTGGAAAAGAAAAAATGAAGTTTATAGAGCAAGGATGAAGGTTGTTGAGCAAAATTCACAGATGACTTAAAATATTGCAAATTATATGAATCAGGAAAACAAGATGAAGGAAGGGAATTCCAAAGAAATAATGTTTGAAGAAAAAAACTAGATAAATAAGAACTTTTGGAGCACTTAGGAACAGTCACAGTGAATGGATGAGATCTAATTGAATGACAATTTACATGAGAATGAATTTTAGTAGACGGCACAAGAGACGCCATCTATATAGATTAGTGCCCAATATATTTATAGAAAAAAGAAAGAGGAGCAACATTATGGCAATGTGATAATGGTTGCAAGTTGGCTGCAATAAAAGGTCCAACTATGTTTACAAAATGTTTTTGCACCTTGTCTGAAAGAGATAGGGCATCGTTATACGATCCATTCCAGATATGGAAACAGTATTCCATACAAAGACAGAATAGAATCCAAAGTAAGAAAGCGGTGAGCATGATAAAGACATGCAATCTTAGCAGATGCTAATTTTGCAATCAATTTGATATTTGGTTTCCAAGAAAGATCAGAAGTCAGAGTTAATCCTAGAAGATAAAGGGTAGATGACTCATGACTCTAGATTATTGCAATAACAATTAGCTGAAAAAATTGGGTTTTATCTGAAGTTCACCAGCCACTGCGAACCCCATGCTGTAGCAGAAGTGAGATCCTTTTTAAGCTCAAATGCCCCTTCCAAGCAATCAGAGAGTGTTGGGTTTTTATCAAGACAAGAATAAACGGTAGTATCATCAGCAAAAAATGTTATCTTTGATAAGAGAATATCTGGAAGATTGTTAATGTATATTAAAAAGAGTATGGGGCTAAAGATAGAACCTTGAGGAACCCCTTAAGTTACAGGATATGAAAAAGAGTGTTGTCCATCAAGGACGACTTTTATACTACGATTGGTAAGAAAAGGATTCAAAAATCTTAAAGATATTCTCTAATACACCATAAGAGGAGAGCTTATGGAGAAGACTGACATAAAAACTTTATTAAAGGCTTTAGAGATGTTGAGATTGATTACCTCTCCACATCTATCTAATGCATGATAAAACCTATCAGTTATTACCGTTCACAAATCAGCAGTAGAATGAGCAGTTCGAAATTCATATTGATGATCAGAAAGAACTTACTTTCTGATCATCTAGTCCAGAAACATACCTGTTGTAGTCTTGCAGAAGTGTTCTCCAGAGCTTTCACCTATTCTTTCAAAACTATTGAACAAGTGCTTATCGGAGTCTTGTTTTCTGGCATGCTGGAAAGCGGCATCTGTTATCCCTATTTTTAAAAATTCTAGAGAGCGACCTGACTTGTCTAACTACCATCCCAATATTTCTTCTTCCTATCATAAGCAAGGTTTTTAAATCTTTAATTTAAAAACACTTAATCTATCATCTTGAATCTAATAACTTACTTTCTGATCATCAATATCGATTTTAATCTTCTCATTCTACAGCCGATTTGCTAACAGTAATAACCGATAAGTTTTTTCTTACATTAGATGGAGAGATGGAGAAGTCAAGTCTATCGTTCTTAACACTTTTAAAGCTTTTGATAAAGTTTGGCATGCTGGTCTTCTCCATAAGCTTTTTTCTTCTTACGGTGTATCAGGTAACATCTTTAAGATTATTGAATCCTACCTTTCCAATTGTAGTATAAAAGTTGTCCTCAATGGACAGCACTCTTTTTCATATCCTGTAACTTCAGGGTTCCTCAAAGTTCTATTCTTGGCCCTATATTTTTTTTGATTTACATTAACAATCTTCCAGCAACAATGCCACCTTAAATATTCTCACACCTAAGGTGGCATTGTTTGCTGAAGATACTAGCATTTATTCTTGTCTTGATAAGAAGCCAACACTCTTCAATTGCTTGATGAGGGCATTAGAGCTTGAAAATGATCTCACTTCTGCTACAGCATGGGACTCTATAAATCTCTATAAATCTCAAATCTGTCCTTGTATGGAATACTGTTGCCATATCTTGGGCGAATCTTCCAATGATGGCCTTTTTTTTTTTAGATAAGGTACAAAAATTTATTGTAAACATAGTTGGACCTGCTTTTGCAAACAACCTCCAAACATTATTACATCATCGTAATGTTGCTTCCCTTTCATTTTCACTACAAATACTATAACGGGCACTACTCTAATTTTTGCAATGTTTTAAGTTGTCTGTCAATCATTATCTTGCTTTATAAATTTCATTTTTTCTCTTCCAGTAACTTCTGACTCTAATTGTGGTTGCTTGAAGCCTTGTTGGAAACAAAGATGTTAAAAAAAAAATTGTTTTTTTTTTGTGTGTTCTCTCTTTTCTTTCTTTTAGTAGTACTCTACTTTATTTGAAACAACTTTTTAACAAAAGATAAAACCCTGATATAAGACCCTGAGTTCCAGTTTGTTAAGAAAATAGGAGCTGCTTATCTTTAATTGTTATTGTTTAGTGTTTTTATGAGGAACTTTAATACTTTTTTTAAACTTTAATTAGTTTTTTCAGTTTCAATTAAATGTTTCATTTTGTTTTTAGTTTTTACATTGTTTTTTCTCAGCTTCTTGTACTTGTCAACAATTCTCTCTTTAATTGTTCATGAAATGATGCTCTGCTCTGATTGTCAAACATTTCCAAGAAGGTATTACTTGTTAGGAAATAGTAATTGCACTAATGTGAATAGCTTTTTTTAATATATATGCTGATGGAAGAATGATGGCAATACTTGTTTGGTTGAAGGCAATATTCATCTGAAGTTAGACCAATTTCTGTAGCCTTTATCAACCTCTCTTCGATCAATTTAATCTTATAGGCAAAAGCTAAATGAAAGAATTAAATAAATTCTGAAATTTTAATTTTCTTAAGAAAAGAGTCAAATGAATACAAAAAATTTGAACAGTCAAAAATAAAAACAGTCTCACTTAAGATGAAATGTTAATAACTTTTAATTAAATTGTTATTGACTATAGGCTAAAAGTTTAGAAAATCTTATTTTTTGTATTAAAAGAAAGTTTAGAATGTCTTACTTTTTGTACTAAAAGAAATTTTAGAATGTCTTTCAACCAATTGTAATTCTACCAACACATGTTGAGTTTCAAAAATATTAACAGTGTCATTATCCTTATGAAATGTGTTTGTGTTAGTGTGCTTGGTCTACCCTGTTGAGGACAAAAATGAGATTATGACTTGATTATGACTGTTTGTATTATATTAACAGAAATGAGACTGAACGGTTTGCCCTGAGTCTCACTTACCCGGCTGACTCAAGAGCTCAAAATCTTTGTCTTTTTCAGATACACTTATATATTTTTTGACAGATAATCATTCTTCACTTACCTTTATTTTTCACTCTGACCCAATTTTTTGTGCTCTTTTTTTTCTTTCAGTGGATCATGACTATCTTATGACTATGCTATGATCTCACTAAAACTCTACATTAAATACCTTAAGACTGTCATTCATGATTTTCTTTGTGATACTCTCTTTCTTTGTGATACTCACTTGTGCCTCTTTTGTAGTGTCTTGTATTTAGACAGGCACATTGTTCTTTTTTAAATACGTCAACCAATCACAGTCACTAATTTTAATTGTGATTTGGTTTATTAATTTGAAAAAAAAAATAATTTAAACGTTTTCAAATACTATTAAAAGTAAACTAAAAAAGTATCTAAGTAAGTAACTATGAAATACAAACAAATGATTCATAGGTTTTTCAAAATATTTTTTGTTTTTTTACTCTTAGAAACAGTTGCAAGTGAAAAAGGCAAAAGAAATCAATTTGTCACATAATCATAAAGGTAATTTTTTGTCACATGACCATAAAAGTCACATGATCATAAAAGTTTGAAGTTATATTTAGTTGTATAAAGTTTTCTAGTTTTATTGAAAAGAAACTTTTTCCTGAATTTTATTTGTTTTTCTTAAATTTTTAATCCAATTTTGCTCTACATTTTATGTTTTATTATATATTTATTATTATAAATTTTTACTATGCATTTACATGATTTATATTATACATATATAGTATACATTTATACATATTATACATTTTATAACTTTAGTTTATTCACTCTCTATTATTATTCTAGTTGTTCAAAGAGATAAGTCTATTGTAATTTACCATCTTCCTTTATCCACATTGTGTGATCTTTTTCCATCTGTACTTTATTATATTTCTTCATTTGCACTCTGCAATGGAGATCCAGTTGATCATTAAAAAATGAACATTATATATTATGGTACTTTTGTGATCCTTAAAATATGCTACCTTATGCAAAGAAATATAGAGTTGGTTATAAATATTTTTTTAAGTGGCATCACTTGTTACATGTTATGTTACATGACATTACTTGTTGGGCAATTTTTTAATGCATTATAATTTTGTTATACAGGTTCTAACATTTTATCATCTCTCTCGTTGTTGAGTGATGGACAGTTTGAGGGTGCCTCAGAATTTACATCTCTATCTTCGTTAAATAAGGATTTGAAAAATATTCATCCAAATTTTAAATCAAGCTATTTGACTTCAAAAGACAAATTAATAATGGAATCATCCTCTGCTCTTGTAAAAACGTTGTTTTCAAAAGTAGAAGATCTTTCACAAGTAAAAAATTTGTTGTTTATTTTTTTATAGTGTGTTTAAATATTTTTTCTTATTGTTAACGAAATTTATTGTCAGCAAAACTTATTGTCAACAAAACTTATTGTTAACAACAACAACCAAATTTCGACATTTTAATGATTTTTATTAAGCAAAAATTAATCTTTGCTTCAAATTCATTATAGTTTTAGAGATTTCTTTCTTAATCTCTTCCTTAATCTCTTCCTTAATCTCTTCCTTAATCTCTTCCTTAATCTCTTTCTTAATCTCTTTTTTAAGTGTTTTTCTCAGTGCTAATAATTTCTTAAATTTATGTTCAATAATGATGAAAATTTATACCCAACTTTTATATTAAGTTCGTTCCAAGTTGGGCAACACATACCCACTTGAAATGAACCTAATATAAAAGAATTTTCAAAAGAAAGTTTCTTTTGTGTTCTACAAACTATGACTACACCTTTTCAAGATGTAATTGAGAAAACAAAAATTGTAATTAAGAATCGTAAGATGTAATTGAGAAAACGTAAGTTGTAATTAAGAAACATAAGATGTAATTTAGAAAACGAAAATTGTAATTAAGAATCGTAACATGTAATTGAGAAAATGTAAGTTGTAATTAAGAAATAGAAAGATGTAATTGAGAACACGAAAATTTTAATTTAGATATAGCTTTAAAGGAGTAAGTGTAAAATGGCGCTTAAAAAAAATGGTGCGTAAAAAAATGGAGCGTATAAAATGACGCACTTAAAAATGACGCAAGATTTGTAGCGTAAATTTAATTTTTTAGGGAAAAATTTAGGGAAAAATTTATAATTTTTGGGCAAATGAATTTAACATAATAAACACTAAAAACATTTTAGGGAAAAATTTATAATTCAATTAAAAATTATAATTAAAAGTTATATAATTAAAAATCACTTCATTGATCATTTAAGCACCAACTTGTACGTCTTCCATATTTAAAATAGTTGCATAGTGCGTGGTTGTGTGTTGTACCGCACGTGCACAATCTCCTCCCATTATAGTATTTTTCGCCTCAATTACAATTCGTTCTAAGTACTGCATGCACTGTTCCGCAATCCCGTCACCTAATACAGGTGGAATGGGAATTGCATTTTTAACGTTACTTTTAATTTTGGACCAGATCGTTTCCACCGGGTTCAACATTGGACTGTTAGGTCCCAAACGTAACAACTGAGCTGGTGAATTATCAAACACCCTTTGCAAACGAGCGTGACAAGGAGCATTATCTGTTACGACGACCAAATCCTCCAAACGATTCCCGAATGTAACCCACTGGTGAAACATAGCCAACATCCACTCGTTACAGCAATCTGCTTTAAATGATCCCCAGCGAGTTTCTATCATGACGACATTTGTAGTTGAAATAGCTGCGATCAAGTATATGTTTAAACCTTTTGAAGCAGGTACTTTCATAATTGCTCCTTGCGTTTTTCTACAAAAAAGGTTAAAATTTGTTTCATCCAACCAAACTATCTGACGACCATTTGTGATATGTTCGTTGATGTTTCTAACATATTCAGCTCTTTTTTGTTTGTTTTCATAACTGTTCATTGTAGAAGGCTCCTTGTGCACTTTTTTCAATGAGAACAATCTGCCTTCGAGGTAATTTGCTATTGTTGTTGTGCTAACGTTTATGTTAAATTGTCTTAATATCTTTGTTTTGATGGCCACCAATGTTAATTGACAATTATTTTCAATCCATGTTAATGTTTCTTCGATTTGATCTTCGGTCAACTTTTTTGGTTTAAAACCTCCTTTTCCGATGAAATTTGAATTTCCGCTGCGAACCCAATTGTATGCTGTCTTATATTTGATACCTAGCGTTTGCGCGAGATTCACCCAATCTTCAAATCGCTCTGCACATTCAACAACTCTTCTCCTGTCATTTGGAGAAGATAAAACGTAACGTTTCCTTTCAACTTGTTCAGTTGTGTGTATTTCATGCCGACAAATCGGACAACTTGAATCTGGTTGTTCCAGAACTGGACGTAAACAAATTTGGTGACATAAATGTTGACACGGATTTAGCTTAATCACAGACTTTCAGGTCATAGTGTATAACACAACGATCTTTCAATTCCATTATTATTACTTGTGCATACAAAAGCAAAATTTAAGATTATAACTTAAATTCATGTCCAAAAAGACCTTTTGTAACAACCTACAAACTTAGACTGTGAATTTGCTATTTTAGTTTATGTGTTCTCAATTACAAGTTACGATTTCTCAATTACATATTATGATTTCTCAATTATATCTTACGTTTTCTCAATTACATGTTGTGTTTCTTAATTACATGTTACGACTTCTTATTTACATGTTGTGTTTCTCAATTACATATAACGTTTTCTCAATTACATGTTGTGTTTCTTAATTACATATTACGACTTGTTAATTACAACTTTCATGTTCTCATTTACATCTTGAAAAGGTGTAGTGACTTAAAAGCTGACTTAAAAATTTCCTTAAAAAGATATTATAAGTTTGATTGTAAGATTCAAAAGTAAAATAAATCTTTTCTGATCCTGTTGCATTAATATTTGAATATGATCCCATCTGCTGTAGAAAAAAGGTGTTTTATCTTTTGAAAAAAAATAGCAAAGGAAATATCAGAAGAGATTGTGAACATAATTATTGAACTTTAATCAGATTTAATGTTTTTATTGAAAAATTTTTTTTTTGGTTTTTCTCAACAAAGTATAAAACTTGTATAAACATTAAAGTTATGATAAATTATGATAAATTAGCTGCTTATAAAGTTGTTTCTTCAATAAAATTAAAAAATGAATTGAGTACTGAGCTGATTGTCCTTTTGTAATTTTTCAGAAAATTATGAGTTTGTTTAGACGAAAGACAAAATGCAAAGTTTTTAATGGTACAAACTTCAAGCAACATTGCATCCAGTAGGTATTTATTGTAAAAAGAAAAATTGCTATATATTCAAATTTGATTCAATATGTTTCATTTCTAATGATTTACTGCATGATGTAGATGTAGTATACGACTACTTGATAAAGTTAACAATTGAACATATTAAAAATCGTATGTACATGGTCCTTGTTTGCAACAACTCATGGTAAGTCATCCTGTTGTTGATGGAATTATGAAAGAGACTAACTTCAAATGCCTTCATAGAACAAAAAAATACCATAAACATAGATGAGTTTTTTCTGGAAATTTACTTGAAAAAATGTTTGCATTTAAACAAGTATGTTTTCTATAACTGAAATTTTATAAAGATCAATTTTTGTAATAATTTTTTATTTCTTTTTAATTCATTCCAATAACCTTTTTCAAGTATTAAAAATTCTTTTTCGTAACTGATGTAAATTCACTTATATAGGTTTATTGGTGTAAATTCCATTTTAATAGTTTACAAAAGTTTTTGTTGTCAATTATAATGATCAAGCAGAAAAAATTGTAAAATGGAAGTTATAAGTTTATCTGACATTTCTGAGACAAAAATGCTGTAGTGGTGTAGTGGTAGAGCGCTTGCTTCATAAGAAAGAGGTTCCGAGTTCGATTCCCACCATGTCCCTGGTAGTACCGTGCTTAACTTGTTTCTCAACGCAGCGGCCTTGTTCATCAAGGTTTGTGTTTCGGAGTTATAGAGTTGAGAGAGGGTTATATCCACAAGTAGCCTAATCATCTGTAGTGGCCTTCTCGGCCTTGGGGAGGTTAATCTAAAAAAAAAATTAAAAACAAGTTTTGCTGAAATTGGCTTCAAGAGAAAGATAATAATGAAGAGTATTATTCGTTCTACATAAGAAAGATAGGTAAAACTGGAGCAGTAAGTAAGCTTACTATCTGAACATTTAAATATGTAATTTTTTGATTTGATGTTTAGGTACGACTTTACTACAATATATAGTAAAGACTTTTATTACAAAAGTGTAAAAAATCTTTACTCAGCCACTCAAAGGGTAAAAAATCTTTACTAAGTCACTCAAAGTCTAAAATACATTAGCAAAACTGTGTAATGATTAAGTCTAATGAAGCTATACCATCGTCATTTTTTAAAATGACGATGTATAGCTTCATTAGACTCAAAAAATGTACATGTATATTTCCATACGGCTCTTCAGATAATGTGTGTATTAGCAATACTTGCACAAATTTGCACAAATAGACTGAAGCCTACCATTCTATTTTAAGTACCTATTGTAAGTTTTAGAGAATAGACATCAAATGCAGAAGCATGACACTCGCATTGATTTGTGAAAACAATCTTCCAATATCTTTAACATCCTATATGATTAAACAACTGCTTCGTATAAGCTGCAAGAAAGATTAGGTAAAGCTTTTCATGCTAAGCTTGTTTTTGATATAAAAATAAAAATGTTTTCCCTCAATATAGATTAGTGCTTCTTGGCGAACAAGTGAGAAGGTTCATAGTATACTTGTAACATATTTTTGTGACAAAATTAATAAAGTTATATTAAAACAATATGCATCATTATCGCTTGTTACATTAAATGCTGAAAGTCTTTTTAATGTTGTTATTCATTTATTTAAAAAAGACATAGTTCTATTAAGTAATCTAATTTCTAATTTAACAGATTCTACCAAGTTATAAGGTTAAAAATCTTGATTTGATGGCGGTATTTATCATCATGTGTCAAAAAATTTACTTTTTTTTGGCAAGGTAGTTGAAAATTTACTGGAAAATATCTACTTTAATTTTAAGATAAACTCAGAACTTTGTACATATCTGAAAAAATTTTATCAAATCTTAAGTGTTACATATAACACTCCAAAGCAAAGGGTTTCTAATTGGTGGTTGTCTGTTTTAGATTGTACTCTTCTTATGCTTGAGATGATGCCTTTTTTCACCTTAATCTCACTGTATAAAGATGAAAGCGACAAAACAGCCTATCAAATGAAAGTAAAAAATTAATAAACAAAATGAAATGTAAAATGTAGCAGAAAAAGCTAACAAAATAATGTGCAGTAAGAAAAGCTAGAATTCTTACAAGTTT